TGCTCCACAGCAGTCCCACCAAGGCCAGATACAGATGTTACAGGCCCTTCCTATTTCTGCCCAGTGTTTTATCTCTCACTCTCCTGTGGGTCACACACTACTCATCCTGACCATTTCTGTTCTTTGACTCCTTCTTCCTCCTTTCTATTGCTGGGCCTCCCATGCTGGGAGCACTGCTCATGCTTTTTGTCCCACCATCAGACTTTACATTTGGCCACCAGACTGTCACTGCTCTTTGCTCCTGTCTGGCTGTTTGTTTCCTTAATGTCACCCCTCTGTTTTCATGTAACTCATACGACTTGGCACTTTTAGACTTCCTCCCAGGCACCAATAAAGATGTATACAAGAGGGGCAGATTGCTCGATGGTGTTTGCTCTTACAGTTGTGTTTTCAAACGTGCTCACTTCATTAGCTTTGAAAGTATAGAGCATGTCCCAGGTTATCTGGTATCGTTAATTCCATAATCACAGCAGAACGGTAGGGTTTGAAACTTTGCTTCCCAACTTGCCACAAGGGATGCAAGAGCTGTACTGCAGCCAGGTTCACAGCGGGTGCTGGTGGCAGAATCCACGTGACAGTCTCTGAAACAGGTACCAGACAGATTTCTTCCATAGATCTCCTGAATCCCACTATCTCCATTTGCACCACAGCTTGAAACTCACTTTTCTTGAGGATAGTCATCATGTATATCCCTTTTAGAAAATAATTCTTCATTCTTCTCTTAATTATTTCATTTACTTGATTTTTATGTAGAGGTCTGTTTCAGTGACAGTGATGGATGTGCCAAGCCCACATTCCTCTCAAAAATCTTCCTTTCTTGCATATAAAAATGTAGACAACTGCTTTATTTTAATAGCACTGCGAAAGATTCTTTCAGTGGTCTGTAAGACTTCACCATCTGTTGAAGTATTTTCACTTGGAGGAAGACAAAACCCCTGTCTTAAAGCATTTACAACCTGAGGCCACAGAATACAAAAGCTTGAGGAGGTGGATGTTGTCACTGTAAGCACAAGCCTTTTTCCTTCACTTTTGTTTTTGCTGTGCTTCTTTTTGTTGCTGAAGAAACACATGACAGCCATATGTGGCACTCTGTCATGAATTGACAGTTTCAGTGCCTAAGGTTGGGTGGTGGAAACACCTTGCCATTGTCTAGCAAGCACTTTTGGACCACCATCCTGTTCAAACTGTCCCGTATCTGTAGCACAGAATCTCAGATTCTCAAAACGAGTTGATACAAGAGAAAACATGAGCTACACCTTCAGGCTAAATCTGACTTGTAAAAGGATTTCTCTTTCCAATTTCCTTCTGTTAACTCACACCTCTGCCTTGTGAAATGCTTCAGTAAAAGTATCTGCCAAATACCAGCCCCTGACAGTGGGTTGAGTCAGGGAAAATAGTCGGCAACCATCCTTCATTCAGAAGTATGTGGGCTTTTCCTTGTGATAGTGAGGAATTCAGGAAGTTTAATTTGTGTCTTCTATTTCTAGAATAGAAGTTGCAAATCCTACACCTGATTATTTTAATTGTTGGAAATTGCACTAAAGATCTTTTTTGTGGTAAGGCATGAACTGCACCCAGGCAATACAAAAGCCCTTCTAATTCTCCATGTGATCTGTAGTAACAATTCTTCATTCAGAGAAAGCCTCTGTCACATAACCAATGCACAGAAAGCCCAAAAAATATCAGTGAAAAAGCTCTAAACAGGAATAAAGAATCTATAAGCACAAAAGGTTGGCCAGTGCCTAACATTTTGTCATCAAAAAAAAATATTAATGTCTGAAGTATCAGGAGCTGAAAACCATGCTAAGGAAATGTTTAACAACTGGAGTGGACTAGTTACAGTCAGCTTCATCTTTTCTCTGTCGTTAGCATTATAAGCCTAAGGAAGTCAATCGTACTTTCTTCTAATCATAATTTTAGTACAGGAACATCCTTGGATTTATACGTACTCACCATTACATGAGGACTCTTGAGCAGGTGGGCAGCACTGGTGTTGTCCTGAGGCAATTCACTTCTCACGCAGCTCTGGAGGTTATAAAAAGGTTGAGGTTATGAAAAGCAACAACAAAGCTATCAATCCCATAGCATGGTCCTGGAGTTGACAGGACTCCAGTGGAATAGTGTCAGTGCTGTAGTGTGCAGGGGTGGAAGGTGGGACACACCAGCCCTGCTTCATTCCTTCAATGCTTCTTGGAGGTAGAATGGGACAATTTCTCTTTTAATGAGCGCCACATCTCTCTTTGCTTTGTCTATAAAGATGCAGGCCATTGTCCCAGGATTGTGCTCTTTTTTCCTTGTCTTACATCTCTTTGGTGGTACTAATAAATCTAGCCTGGGCAAATGTTAGTAATACAAATGTGTCATAAGCTGGGGTCCAGCTTATAATCATGGATATGCTTTTGTTCTTCTTATATGTATTCTTGTACCAAAATCTGGAGAAAATACATGGTCAGAGTGACTGTAAAATATGTTTTCAGTCCTGAATCTGCCCATAAAGTTAAGCTTGCAAATACAGGCTTTCATCTTTCCACCTTGCAAGTCTCTCTCCAAAGGCAGAGATGACAAATAAAAAAGCAAGGTGAGTCTGGGCATCAGCAATGTGAATGGCCAGCAAGGAAGGTTGCTAGCCTGGCCTTATTTTAGCTTACTTTTGCCTTAAAGAAAAAGGAGCAACTGTATTATTTGGTATTGAAACAAGCAGCAAGTGTAAACCTGACTTTGAAATACATTTATGGTGCAAATTTTTTAGAACAGCATGTGCTGAAAATAAGCAATGATTATAGATAGATGCAGTGACTGTATGTGCCAAGGCTACAGTTAAATTATGTATCTGTACCAGTTACATCCATCAGCGCACACAAAAAATTCTTCAGTTTTTGGCTTGTAAGAGCTCGCATACTGTTAATATTCAATGTTTAGCAAGAGTTGTTTTGTTTTCCCTAGCAATAGCAGCAAAAGGCTGCTGCATGGCTATTATTTATTAAAATATGGTATCTTCGTTCCTTGTTTTCATTTCACAGCATATATAATCTCTGGCAAGGGAAACTTCATATATGAATTGCTAGAAAACATCTTGGAGAGCTATGTTATTAAATTATTATCTTGCAGAGAGATTTTTATCTGGCCTTTCTTCCACAGCCTATTGCAAGCAGTTTTTATATAATTCTCAGAACAGCTTGAAGCAAACACATGAAAAATGCATCTCATGGATGGGCTGAATGGCTTCTCCACTCTGTCAACATTTTCTACCCTTAACAGCATCTTCTTTTTCGTATTGTTTCCAAATCTCAGGGATTTCTGATTTAGCTCTGTTAGATTTCCTAGCACCTTGAGAAAGTACCCAAAGGCATCTAAGCAGTGTGTCCAGTCCTTTTCAGACTCCTCACTTCTACCTCTCTTCATCAGTGGTAGAAGACCCTGATGACATGGCATATTCTTTAAGATAAGACCTCATTGTACTATGATTACAGCATTACCTGCATAACTATGGGCTGAATGAAGTAGCTGCATGTGTTAGTTAAATCAGCAAATGGTTGCAAAAGTCTTCCTGTGTCAGAGAAAGTTCAGATCTGCAGAGGTGACCATGAGGATGCTCTTCATGGCTTTGGAAGCTCCTGAGCCAAGAAGAAAAGGAAGCAAAGAAAGCATTGGTCAGACTTTCTCCATCCCCTTTATGTGATTTTCTTCCCACTACTGGCCTGGTGTGGCCACTTTTATGTTCTCTTATAGACAGAAGACAAAGCTCAAGGTTTTCCTGCTGTGGGCTGAGCTGGAAAAGCCAATTTACACAGGCTCAGCAGCATAGCAGGGGATTGTCTCTGCTTAAGGAGTCTGTCGTGATTCTCTTCTTGAAAGGAGGTGGGAAGTGGGGGGCAAGATGTGTATCTGGCAAACCTTGTAGGGCAAGCAGGAGGCAAGATGATGCAATGTGCAGTATATCCATAAGGGAGTTGCAGTGTTAAAGAGGAATCTTTAACAATTAAAAGGAGAGTTGGATGTGTGAGGGAAGCTTTGCGAGGAGGTGAACATGTCATCTACAATTGAACAAATGCCGAGTGAGTGGTAATGATTAAGGTGTAAAGAACCAAAAATCATACAAAATTCATGTCAAAACCTGAGCTGCAGAAAGATCCAAAAAACTGATTTTCTAAACATATTTATGTATGTAGTTCACTTTTTTTTTCTTTTTTTTTTTTCCCCCGATCCACAGGCAGCAGCTGCATTCCAAAATAGAAAGACAAAGAAACTCCCAGCAGAACTGGTTACTTTTTCCAGAGCCATATAAGGAATATTTTGCTTCTTGCTTACTAGTTCCACTCTGGCCCAGATATATAGTGACCCAGAATTATGATCATCTTCTGGCCACTAGGTACCCCTTGTGAATTGACCCAGAAAATGGTTGCATATGTCACAAAAAACACATTGAGAAACGGCATTGATTTGCCTCTTCCCAGATTTAGGCAGGCTGTGATAGAAGGAAAAAATAAATGAGTCAAAGAAAATCAGTCACCCTCTCACCTCAAGAGAAAGCTGCCTGAGAGGGCTGCGTGGCCCTTCAGGTCTATTCAAGTGGGTTCCTTTCCTCTGCTCATCAGCCCACTGCCTCACACCGGTGTAGTAAGCGGTATGACTAATATGCAGCATATGTTGTTTGCTCTCTCATCCTCTCCAGAGGAAGCAGCATATGTGCCAGTGTGTCTTGTTTGATAGGATTTTCTGCTGCCTTTTTGAATAGAAGTGTTGCTCCGCACTGATGCCGGAGAAAGCAGCTCCAAACAGCACAGACCCTGTGCTCTGAGGGGAAGATGGTGGGGTGTGGGACGGTGCTTAATTCTTGCAGCTGTTCATTCCCCAACCTCTGAAGAGTGGTAAAGTTTTGCCTGACATACACACAGGCTTTGCTCCGACTGTGTAGTGCTATCATGCAGTGAAATCCTAACTGGGGTTCTCAGACCAGCACCTTTTGGCAATCACTATCTATCCCTTCAGACAGAAAAAAAAAATAACCTTTTGAGCAAATTAGCAGGCTAGACATCAGGGTAGCTAGAGAGCAGATTAAACATTTGGATGCACTTTCTGTGAGTTAGCTAGCAAGGCCCAGCCCCTTCTGCTGACGTCTTTCCTCTCTATCACACATCAGACTTTTCCCAGTGGAGCTGGAGAACAGGCTTCAATGAAAACTGCCTGTTTGCAGCTATATGGAGATTGCAGGCACCACAATCACTATTTCCTCCACCTGACCTGGAGCAGAAACTCCATCATCAGGATAGAAAGGTAGCCTTGTTGCCTAGCAAAGGTGGGATGATTTATCTCTGTCTCTAGATTGGTCCCTTTTCTTTGCTGCACAAGAGAATTGTTTTCAGACTTCCAAGGAGAATGAAGCCAGGCTAGAAATCACAGTGGATGTGTGAGAGCTGCTCTCCCAGGGAAGAGAAGGAGTCACAGGTTTTCTGTGCTTTTTGTTTCTGTGCAGCTCAGGACAATGGTTTTATCTGCCCCAATTATAGCCCTTGGGGCTACCTTAGGGACTGCAACTAGCATCCTTGCACTCTGCGGTCTCACCTGCTTCTGCAAATGCAAGCAACCTGGGAAAGGACTCTCAGAAAAGGACCAAGATGAGGACATGGAAAATACTAAGCCCAGTGTGCTTCAGCCAGCCCAACAAGTAAGACACGATCTCTTCTTTACTCTGTGATTTTTCTTTAAATGCAGAGGGTGGGAATGCAACTTCTCTCTTAGGCTACTCAGCGTGTGATTTATTCTGCTTATTTATCTGCTTACCCGGTTCAGGATGTAACAGCAGGTTAATGGGAGGACTGAGGGGAGCACAGAGACAGGGGCTGGGTGACCCGCAGAATTACCAGAGCAGGAGACAGCTGCCACACTGCCAAAGAGAAAGCTGCTAATGGCAAAAATAGGGGAGGAGGACTGGAAATGCTGCTCAGCTGTCAAGCGAGATCACAAGGGAAATCATTTCCTGAGGAGAGAAGGCTGGACTTTACCAGGTGGCACGCAGCATTGTAAAGAGGAGATGACTCCTGCTGGGATCTCCTGTAACAGCTATTTCTCTGACTCTATTCACATTATCCTATGGTTCCTGCAGGATAGTTCCCTGTCAACAGCTGGTTTCTTCTGAAAATCGTCCCTTCTCCTCCCTCTGCCCCTCTAACTGGGGGAATTAATTGTGTGTGAAGTTAAAATCAGGCATTGAAATGATAATAAAAACACTAGTGAGAATCTGGAGTGTGAGGACCGAATGATCTCATCACGCTGAATTGCTTTGTTACTTACAGTAAGAGCAATGTGATGGACCAGTAATGTCAGGCATCCCCATGTGTCTTTCTGTCTTGTTATAATCCCAAAAATCCCCTGATTTATTTCTGAGCCTACTGAAAGAGAGAGCAATGGGAATCACAGGACACTTTTGGTATGCTTATTATTGGAAGCTGTCCTTCAAATGGAAATTTTGGACTGATTTTTCCGGTTGACTAAGGTCTTCAGCAGGAGCTATAGCACTGGGCAGTCTCTGAAAGTATTACCTGTTGGCTGTTGCTTTCGGTGTTTTTATGTGCCTAAATCCTTTTCAGTTTTATCTAGCCATTCAACCAAATGTTATGCCAGAGCAGCCAAGTCCAAAGGCCAATGATCCATTGTATAAAAGTCTTTGTTTGCCTTTTAATTATCTGAGGTGCCTATTATTTTTGTATTATTAAGGAGTGTAGCGGGAGTCCTAATTGAACTTCTCTGTAATGCTTATAATTACATTTTCAGTCTCTCTCTTGATACTGCTCTTAGGCTCTCAGCAAAGAGCCCTGGCATCCTCATGCTCCTGTTGCAGTTTGTTCTGAGGAACGAAGACCAAGTCTACTAATTGTATTTGTAAAAGCTGGCGCAGAATAGCAGTACATTAGCTTCTATTTACTGGGCATGGGAGTAGGCTCCACTGGCCATGGCTGAACATCTGCACTGAGTTTAGGACTTCTCCAGAAATTGCTGCTAATTCTGAGCATTCATCCACAAGCATGGCCAATACTGGTTTGCATTTTCCTAGGAAAATTTAACCTGCTATCTTCTTTGTCTTCTTCAATAGTTTTTGTCTATCTTCTTTAATAGTTTTGTCATGTCCTTTCTAGTCTCCTTTCTTGTTTAACCCATACAAGAGATTTGCCAACTCCTGTATAAAGTAGGATGTACAATAATGTTGAGATTTTCCATGTTTACTGTTAAAATGAATGAGAAATGTGTAACTTTGACAGTCACATCACTTTGCATAGTATTTTTTTCTAGCTGTTAGTGTCTGGGACAAAACTACCTACAGATAACTTCTCCATCTTTTTTTCCTACAAGATATTTTTGAAAGAGCTTGAAAAACTCTTAAATCTTTACCCTAATTCAATCATTGGAATGGACGTTTTCTTTTACACAGCTTTTTGGGAAATATTTTAGTAAAGTATTAATCCAGTCTGGAGCTTGTCCTTCAGGCTGTCATCTCTCTTGCATGACTGAAATAACTACTAAGTCACCGTGAAGTCCAGTTAAGCCCTCGTGTCCAATTAAACCTGCAGTACCCAGCACATCACAGGTTATGGTCCTCACAATATTTTTACACTCGTCAAGTTTTGCCTTAACTTAATCCAGTGTTTAACCAATACAGAATCAAATTATTCAACATACCCTCAGTGCATCACTCTTTCTTGAATGATTGTATGCTTTCAGTATTGTAGACTTTCTAATTCGAAGCATGACTCCTAATGTTACTGTTTTGTTGTTTTGTCTTCTTTTTTTTTTTTTTAAAGAAATTTGGTCAAATTATAGCAGCCGAATGAACATTCTGTCAGAGAAAGTGCAAAATGTTCTTAGTTTGCATATTCTGTATGTTTAACAAACCTTTCCAATTAAAATAGCTTTGTTGCCAGGAACATGCATTCATTCTCCTGTCACAGATTCAGAATTAGTCTATACTCCTTGAAGGAATGAATCTCAAATTGAGTTCTGAGCCTGTGTCTCAGTTTTATCATCTCTGTCTATGTTTATAAATTGTCCTGTCAGGACTTTTTTCCAACTGCATTAGTACACTGTATGTCCTAGTCGGTGTTTGGCATACTTAATTATTGAAGCCTGTCAGGGCCACTGATTCTGATAAACAGAGATGACAAAAGAAAGATGAAGCAAGACTGCGTTTTATCCACTTGCCATGTCTCCCATGACACTGATGCTTGTATTTGCTATAGATAGAGGTTCCCTATGGACATGCCCTGCATATTTGAGAAGGAAGAGTTCAAACACAAAGATACATCTACAGAACAATTAATAAGTGCTGTAAATTTGCAAAGTGTCAGCAATGGGTGCAGATTAAACATGCCTAAAAACATCCAGCAGTGGCAGCAGCCTAGTGCATTGTTTGAGTGATGCTGGGCAGGGACCCAGAAGGGTCAGCTGGAGCCTCCTAGCTAATTTTGTTTTCCTTGCTTTCACACATTTTATGCAGAACCGTATGAGTTTTTCTTTATTTAAGATATCGCTGTTGATTTGCAAAGGGAACTTCCATAGGACACTGCTCTGTAACTAGATTAGCAGACAGCGCTTGGGTACAGAGCTGGCAGCAAAGATAATAAACAGAAGCAGATGCAGTTGGAAGAGCGGATGGGCTAGTCCCACTGTGCTTGCATATGTCTCTCATCTCTAATTCTGCAGAGCAGACAGACTAGAAGAATATTTAGACCCAGTGGAGCTCTCAGTTGCTGTGTGCTGATGGATTTCCTGACTAAATGTCTGGCTTTTAGTAAGTGGAGAAAAGATTATATTAACAATACCTCGCATTTGTATAGTGTTTTTCATCCCAAAGGGTCCCAAAGTGCTTCCTGCACACAGCTACCCAGGCATGCTGATCTGGTGTGATGCTCAGTGGCTAGCAGGACAGCACGCTTATACAGAGGGTTTGGGAGAGAAAGAACAGCAGGCACTGGCTGCCAATGGCATGTACTTTGTGCATGTTAGGAGTCCCTGCAGAATAAAAATGACCTATTTTTTTTTTTCAAGCTATTTTCTAGCTTTTCCTAACTTTTTTTTTTTTTGGTTGGTCTGTTTTAATTTTGAATAGAAAACAGCATGTGAAATTCGGATAAGTAACTTCAAACTTCCTATGTATTTTAGTACTGATGAGGCTCACATCTCTAAAAGAAGGATCTCACTACATTTCTATTATAGACCAGCACTGTATGACTTACATAATAACTAAACTCAGCCGAATGCTAGGTGGGGATCTGCACGCAATGACGTGTTTCTTTTTCAACACCTATTTCAGAGTCCTTGAAATTAGACAAGAGAAAATGCTGTTATGTAGTAGACTTCCTAAACACCAGCGTACCAGCTGTCTTGAGAAGATGGCGTCTCTGACCTAATTAGCTCTTTACCACTGTCAAGTCCATATAACTGTAGTGCCAAGCAGAGTATGACGAAAAAAAAGGTATGACGAAAGGGCTACAGGCCAAGACTGCTCTCTTTCTTCAGCTGTTTCTTAAGGAATAGGTATGCTCCCTCAGGACATCTGAACTGGGACCACGAAGTCCCAACACAGACAAGTGCCTCAGGGCATCATCTACATTCATTATTAACAGGAAACAATGAGACTAATGAAAAACTTTAATTACAATTACGAATGCCTTTTGGCTCTCCCTCACTCTAAACTTAGTGCAGAATAGGTTGGCAGGCAGTGGGGTTGGAGTGAATCCCTCTGCACAGTAATCAACCAAAATGGCAGTTTTACTTCTCCTTTTTGTCTTTCATGCTTTGGAAACATTACTAAACTCTGATGAGAGGGTCAGCCATTTGCTAGTCAGCTTTTGTTCTATTGATGAATTCAAATATAAATGAATCAGAAATGATTTCAGTTGTGAGCAGAGGGGATTCTTTCCTGGGACATAATGAAAACATGACTGTTACATTCCACTAAAACATTTTTCATTGTTTGAGGAGAACATAATTCTTTGTGCCAACCTTTTCCAGTCTGCCTGGGCATTGCACCATCTTTCAAGCTCTTTCATTGATACCATGGTCAGCAATCAGCAGGGAAATAAAATGTTAAAAAGAAACTCAGACAAATCAAAATGTCGATTCCTGTATAATAAAGGAGAGCTGTGTGTCTGAGGGTCAGGTGGGGCTCTGGTCCTTAGAAACAACAGATGTTTCTTGCTGCAACCAAACATCTGTGGAGGAGTGACTCTGAAAGGATGTACATCAAGTAGAAGGGTAGCAGATTTGGCAAGAAAATCTGGGCAGCAGCTTCTCTAACCAAAGAAATAATGACAGTAAGAATGTCCAAGGGCATTGTATTTTCTCCCTTTGTCTCAGCTCATTTAACACTGAAAGAATCAGAAGAATTAGTGCAAAGAAATAAACAATGTTTTGATTTTCAGTTCAATGTTAAGAAAACGGCAGAGCCAGTCCAGCCTCGACCACTCCTGAAGTTTCCCAACATTTATGGCCCCAAACCAATGGTAACTTCACCTGAAATTGTTAACTACACACAATATTCCTTGAAGACAACAGAAGAACCAGCTACTGGAAAACATACTGTTCTGGATGAGAACAGGATGAAGATACAAGTCAATGAAGAGCTTTTTGTTCTCCCTCAAAACGGTAAGAACATTTGGTCTTCAGACTACAGATTGCTTTTCTGGGTGTAGATCTGTAATACTTTCGAGAATAATGTGATTGTAATTAGAGAAATAAACATGGAAATGAAGAGATAGGGTGCTTTTCACTCTCTTATCATGAACATTGTGAGTTCTATTTTAGATATATGTGTTTAATAGAAAGTAATCATGAAGCACATCAGGACATTCAGACATAATTGACATAATTGAAACTTTTTTTTTCTCTAAATGTGCAAGAATTGCACTCTTGTGTTGAAGAATCTGTCTTAATGGAAGCAGACATTTTGTAGAAAAACATCTATTTAGTGTGAAGTTTTAGTGAGAGCAGTTGCCACAGTATGGGTGTAATACCTGGCCAAAATTAGGCAGAATTGCTCATCCAGAAGAAATGCTAGCTGTCCAGCAACTGTCCCTCTCAGGGACATCGGCAGCATTGGTTCAAACCTGTACTTTAGTTTCCTTGCTCCTTTACTTTCACCAGTTCTGTGAGATGGTCTTGGTTTGTTGTAATGTGAAGTGAAACCAAGGGCTGACACTTAAGACATTTTTACCAAACAGAATTCTTGTTTTCCAGCCAGCCCGAATGGTAGCATGCCAAAGCCTGGAACATAAGATTCCTGGAGCATACAAGAAAATGCAACGTTAATTGTATACATCTGGCAGCTAGTCTGGGTTGCTTCCATACTGATTTTTACCTTCACAGCTGTCTTTTTAACAGCATAATTGACTCTTATGGTTACCGTGTTACCACATTAATAAAACCTTACTGAAGATTTGCCAGAGGCACAATGCCATCTGTCATGATTTATTTTAGAGCATTTATTTTTTAAAATTGCTTGAGATTATATTTTTGTCCTTCAGGGAAAAGGATTGCCACATGCATCCCTCCACCCTGAGACTTATGAGTATGCAAAAGCGAGGAGTACCATGGGAAGCAGCTGCATTAGAGGAAAAGACTGTCTGAGCCACATCCTTCAGTGTCAGGAAGAATATTACAGGGTGGAGAGCCTGAAGGATGATTGCTGCATGTAGAATAAAGCTTTACATAAGTGTGTTGGTTTAAGAGCCTCTCTGCGCTGGTAACAGCACAAGTTTGCTTCCTTCTGTGCCTGATTTCATAGCTCAAGTATTGATGAAATTAAGCCAGATTTGTTGCAGTCTCCTTGGTGCCACGTTGAACAGATACAGACCATGGCTGAGACTTTTAAGAGGAAATGTGCTGGTACCATTATTGTTGTCTGTGTGAGTCAGGACTGACCTCGCAGACAATAGATTTTGATACCAAAAAGCTGTGGCTCCCCTTTTGGTCTTGCCATTTGCTTTATTTCAATATGAAGTACATAGCCAGCTTCAAAATCAGATGTGGAGAAACTGCCTCAAAGCTTCCCAAGCTCATAATCTTCAGCTTGGTTAAGTGGTATCTGAATAAGTGTCATATTGGCCTTCTGCATGACAAAGACTGTAGAGTTAAATTAAAAAAAATAAATTATAGAGGTCTGAATTAATGCAGAGAAGAACACAAGATGCAATTCACCAATGTGTATAACAAACAAACAAACAACAAACCAAAACAAAACAATAAAAACAGTAGTGTAGTTAAAAACAAACAAACAAAAAACTATATAAAACAAGAGCGTAGTTTAAGCACCTTGACTTAGGCACAAGGTAAAAGAGCGAACATGTGAAGCAACTTAGAGCACGCAATGGTGAAGAGAGCAGAAAGCTTGTCCAGGTGCTGTAGAAGACCTGAAAGTGTAAGAAGAGAGAGCAAGAAGGAGATTCGGTGAGGGAAGAAGGAATATAAGTGATATTCCTGCATACAAAGTGCAGGCATAGTAAGACATTTAGAAGAGTTGAGTCGAGACATGGTGGGTTTGTTCTCCTTGGAAGGCAAAGACTTGCTTGCTAATGGGGTTACTTCAGTTTCAGGTGTGGTAAAAGATGTGTGTGTCACGGAGCACTTGAACCCCGAGAGGGCAGCCAGCTGTAACCAGGTCCCTGAACTGCGCTACTCCCTCACGTACGACCAACAAAAAGCTGAGCTGTGTGTGGCCCTTCTGGAAGGTAAGGGGCTGAGATCTGCTACTAGTGATTTCCTATCTGGAAGGTACAAGATACCTGATTTTATAGAGAGTTCCCCTCCCACATTAAAATCAACATATTTCCCCAGAACTGTTGGATGTTTCACTGGCAGCTGCACTTGCAGAACAGAAATACCTCGAGATGTCAGTGCAGGGCACAGCTTGGGAATAATCAGTTGCACAGCTCAGAAGCAGAAGCCAGGAACCAGGATGGACTTCTCTAGTCCCAGCCCTGGTAGAAAGCCACCTCTTATTTAATTTTTACTGTGGGGATAAGGGAGGGGATCTGCTATCTCCTTCCTCTCTGTGACTTTTGATCTTCAACATAACCCACTCCCTACTGCCTCTTGCTCAGGCCAAGTCAGAAGGTGAGCTGTAGACACCAGACTTACCCTGTAGGCCCCTGAGGCAGGTCCCTCTGTCCGGGCGGCTGGGCTCTGCGACACTCTCTGAAGTGGAGACTGACAACCGTAACAGCTTCCCTGCTCAGGGCTGGAGCATCATCGGTTCCTCTGGGAAAGTAAAATAAGCTGACTGAATAATTCATGCACAGTGCAGATCTCTGTGGAAGCCTAATCAAATCACACCCTCTGAAGCGAGAATCGAATGGGTGCTAAGCGGCGGCTGCTGCTGTGGAGTGACTGGAGCAGCAATCCCACAGCCTCTGCTGCCCTGAAGGGTGGATGCCCTGGGCTGCTGGCATGGCTCTCCTGCAAGCCTCCTCCTCCCTGGGTGCCCCAGTGCTACCCAAGCTGTGTCTGCTATGCTCCCCAGCTCCTCTCCCCCAGAAATCAGGGGACTCCAGTTTTCCGTGGGGACTGGCAGCTCGGGAACAGCTCTCCTCAGACTGACTGCAGCAGGGACTTCAGTTTAGCCCACGGAGTCCTGCTGTTCCGTGACCCCTCTGGGGAAGGAGTGCTCCTCTTGCTGCGCAGAAGGCAGTGTAATTCTCTTGATGCAGAAGAGGAGCATAAGATGCCTTTCTCAGTCTAGACTTTTCAACATAAAAGGGATATAAAATTAAGGATCAATGCCTCTGGACACAGATCTTTTGGGCTGTAGGGTTGCTTCTGAAGGAGCTATTTGCCAGAGGTTGGACAAGCAGAATGTAATAACCCTTAGGCATATCCCACCCTGGCCTGCAGGTGTGGATGTGTGCCAGGAGAGAGCTCTCTCCCATCTCTGATGCCTATGAGTGACAATCCTGCTTTTAAACCTTTTTAAGAAGCTTTCTTGGTGTGCCAAGGAAAAGGTAAATGGGAGCTCCCTGTCTCTGTGCCATGCTGTGTCTCATCTCATTGCTGCTCTGCATCTTCAACAGAGCATGTTTCTTTGAACTCAGCTGATGGTCTCCCAAACACCAACAGCATCCTTCTGCAGCAACAGAAGGACAAAGACATTGTACACCATGAGGAAAACACCACAGCATGGACTCATGGCTTAGTGTGCCCTGTGCAAGCAGGAACTGGAGTCAGTGTCTATGTGGCTGTTTTATTTTATGTCCCTTATAAAATAATCAATTTAGCCACCAATATTTATGGGCTGTCTTTTATGAGAGGTCCTTAAAGTCAATCCTTCCTTTCCAGCTATGCATGGCAGAATGAGTGGTGACCAGGATGCCGGCTGCCATTGCTACATACTGGGCACGCTGGTGAGCAAGTCTGGCATTGCTGAAGCCCAGACAGAGCTGAAGAAGAAGGTACTTCACACTCTCTGGGAGGAGGTCCTGCGGTTCCCATTACCCAAGGAGGAGAAGCCTGAGGGGACACTGACTCTCACCCTGAGAAACTGCGACAAGTTCTCCAGACACAGCATTGTGGGGGAACTCAAACTGAGCCTTGCTGACAGAGAGGACTCCTTTGGGATGGCCCAGTGGGAAAGGCTAAAGATGCCAGAGAAGGTATGGACTAAGTCTGTGTTAGTAGACCAGAAACTCTAGTGGTTTTTTTTGGAGAAGAGATGCCCTCTTCCAAAACAGCTGCATGTCCTTGGGTGGGTGGCTCTGTTCCGTTGGGCCCAGGTTTGGCCAGGTGATGTGTGACTGCAGAGGTCACTTAGCACTGCTCTGTGTTGACCTCACCATTTCAGAAAGCAGTCAAAAGCCCATCAACCCAGTCCCTGCATCTACAACTCCCAGCACGTGTGCCAAAGCTCCCTTTCCCCCTCCCTCAATTACATGGCAATCTGACACTGATATCTGCAATTCAAAGTCTGTGTTTAGAAGTTACAGAAGTTACGTGAGTTTCTGTGTGTTAATGTGAGTTTCTGTGTGTTAACGATGCAGGGACTGTGGTAGCAAAAGTTCAGCGACCAGACTGAGCCTACAGAGCAGGAAGGAGGGACTCTGCTGTGCTGGGTGGGGTAGGGTACATGGCAGCAACTGAGTGAGCCCTCAGCTGTACAACTGAAACACATTGATGGGACCAAAATGCTGAACTGAAGACAAGGAGCAGTTGTTCCTCAGTACAACCAGCCCAGCAGCGCTATTTGTTCTGGCTGATGTCAAAATATCACCCATTGCATTGTATTTTTTTAAATTTTATTTTATTTTATTTTTTGGTCGGCATTGTTGTTGTTTTGTTTTTTTTTGTTTTTAATGACAAAACTTGTCTTTCTTTTGTTATCCACATCTTCCCAGTCGCACGGACATGGAAAATAAGGGAAAGGATTCCAACAGTATTTGAAGTATGTGCAGGGAGTGCCTCATTTGTATTAACATTTTACAAGCAAATTTCCTCAGGAACCTTTTCCCTGCAGTGAACTAGATTATTCTAACAGCAGCAATATGCTTAACAACATAGCAGCAGGACACTGCTATTGTTGCTTATAGTACATGGCTACAAACAGATACCTACTGTACTCTGGTATGGCACAAGGTGAGCGATGCAAAATAATGTTAGCGTTGTTGCTAACCCTGCTATAATAAAAATATTGCTGGTCACCATTGGGGATGAGAACTCTCAGTCACAGAGTAGACTGTTTCTGATTTCCAATATTGCTAATTTATCTGATCACTACTTGAATGCTAATAGGGCTGCCTATTTTGGAAAAACAACAAAACAAACAAACAAACAAACAAACAAAAAACAAAAAAAAAAACTCTGGCAGAGAAAGGGGCAGAAGAAATAAATGGGTGGTCTGAATCAGTTTCATAAAGCACAAGGCTAAGTAGGTACCTATTAGCAGTAAGTTGAACTGAGATCCCAGATTGTTGCTTCAAGAAATAGGTCCAAAAAAAACCAAAACAAACCTATTCCAATATAAACCATTAGAATTTTAATCCCCAGACCCCTAATCTACTGTAGTATCTGCTTTGTAAACAATACTCAAGAAGTGGCCAGTCCATGGCAATGGTCAGTTTTCACTCATACACCTGATAAAGTCCTGACATACTGGGTACTCGGGGTACACACAGAAACAGGACAACACTCATTACTTCTCCAGGCTGACAGCACAAGGTTAACACTAACTGTACTGCTGAACAGTGCCCCAGTTTGAGCTGAGGATGTGCAGTGAAAGCTGAATTTGCGTCATCTGGGACCTGAGAGAGCCAACCATTGCACAGATAGCTTATATACAGATCCTGAATCATTCATTGAGAACCAGAGCGGGAGGGAGTGAGGAAGAGCTGATCAAAAAAGAGCAGCTATTTTTGACAGCATCCATCCAGGAACAAAGTTACCGGGCTTTGTTTAAAGTCTGACATTTCCTTGAAAAGCTGTGCGCTGCAGAATTTTTATTCCTAGCCTCCCGGTAATTCTCCCACACAAGGAAAAGCTCAGAGGGAAGCTTACAGCTAACCAGGTAGTGCAATTAGTATTCAGGAATTCATGGAGTGCTGTGAGCAATGCAAAACATAGATACTGCAGACTGATATCCTTATCTTGTCTTCCTTCCCTCCCACTGCTTTGCTAATGACAGTGATGATAGCGGCTGCTTGCATAGCACCTTCCCTTTTGTGATTTCATGGTGCCTTGCACACGTAATTCACTGATGACCCCCTGATGCCTGTTATCCTCAGAGCGCAGAAAGGAAGACTGAAGCTCTGGCAGTTGTGTGACTTCGCTAGGCTGTAGCACAAAATGTTGGTTATGAATTTACAAGGAAAAAACAAAAACAAACACAAAAGAAAGAGGGAGAAGGAAAGGTACCCGTGGCTGAGTCTCTTCATGCAAAAATCCAGCAGAAACCAACCATTACAGGTTTTGGTTTCATGTGGATACAGGCTGGTCAAGAACTTGAACAGAACATTAGAGGCTAAAAAGCCATAAGCACATGTGATATGTGTGTGCAATGAGTGTGTACAATATGTGTGTGTGCATGTGTGCATTCACAGCCCCCTGCCACCCTCTCTCTACCCCTCAACCTTTACTATATCTAACTGTGCTTGGAGCTACAAGAACCTTATTATATCCAAGAGCTATAGAGTGAGACTTGGTGAGATACAGGGTGGATACATAAGCAAAAAAAGCAGTTTATAACTTGCCTGAAACTGTGTTTTTGTATTGAGGTGGTATTCGGATTGGTCCCTCCATGTGCAAACACCTATTCTGTTGTCGTGGACACAGAGCCACTTAAATCTGCCTCTGCTTTTGTGTTTCTTTTTTTTAGATTCACTTGCATTTAGGACAGGATTTCAGTAAGTGAAACACATACAAGCCTTTCCTTGCTACCTGAGTGTATAAAGGAAGATTTACTTGTGCTGATTTGGGATTGAATTTCAGGCTTCCCAGCTAATGGCCTCCCCCCTGATTTGTGCAGGACAAATAAATCGTTCAAAGCAGACACTGAGGACAGCCACGCTTTCTGGAGAGTCAATCACCTCACAGGGAGCGTACAGGGGGCCTGTCCTTGCCTGTTGCAAGAAACCCGGTGAAAACTTAATTTGAAATATTTATGGCTCACTTAAAGCGGCAAGTGGAGAGCACAGAAATGGCCTGGAGAAGGCCTGTCTGCCCTAAAGCTTGTAGATCACGCTAAGGAGTCCAAAGGGAGTCTACTGAGTTGACATTGCCTTTCTGTGACTCTTCTGGGTCGTTAACCACACACTAAAACAGATTTCTGTCACAAGCTCGCACTCACCAGAGAGCAGCCATTCCCTTTCGCCCCTCGCCACAGGCCCGCAGCCTCTGCCGGCGCGATCGTTTCCCTCCTGCTCTGCCTACGGCGATACTTGTGCAGAGCGAGTGAAGGGAAGAAAGGTCAGGAGGCTAAGAGGCCAATTGCTGACAGGAGGAAAGGAATAAAAGGACAGAACAAGCAAGCAAACAAACAAAAACCCACCGCCAGCAAAAAAACAGCACCACACAAACAAAAAACAAAACAACAAAACAAAATCAAACAAACAAAAAACCAACCAACCAAAACAAAACAAAACAACAACAAAAAACAACAAAGCATGGCCTCCTGAAGTGAATGCTTGATTGTTCAGAGCATTTGACCCAGAGGAAATCCTACCTGGGCAGCAGGGCTGTTCACAGGCTGAGGGAGGACAGGCCAGGAAGGAAAGGTAAAACTGACAGAGGGCTTTAGGCCTTCTTTTTTTTTTTTTTTTTTTTTTTTTTTAATAGCAGATAAGGGTTAAAGAAGATTCAACACTGGCTCCAGAGTATGTTTGTGTGGCACAACCCCCAAGATATTGCTTGGCAGTTAGTTACTGGAACCTGCCTCCATGTCTGGTCAGAGCCCCCTCACACAAATGACAAGTGAATGATGAAAAGCAGTAATGGAAGTAGGGGATATAAATAAAGGACAGCTAGATAATTTCTCTTAAAACAAGTATCCACCTATATACACAACAGTTCAGTCCCAAATTCTTTTCTTCTTACTAAATATGACACAAAAAGTAGCTGTTGGGAAGCAGTTGCAGCAGCAGAAGGAGGTAATCCATGTGAGCTGGGCCTTGTGAGTGAAGGATCCCTCTCAGACATGTTTTCTGGTTTATTCTCATCCCGTTTAACTGCAAAAGACTCCTGTAGAGATAGAGAGACAACTTGGTCAGTCTATGACCTTACACTCATCCCCTTTTAGTAGTAGGTTTTCTTAATGTTATGGCCCAGATTGTATCAAAAATTAACCCTTCCTATATCTCCATTTCCAGGAGCCATCTACAGGCCATGGAGAGGTTCTGCTGTCAATCAGCTACCTGCCAGCAGCTAACCGCCTGCTTGTGGTGATTATTAAGGCTAAAAATCTCCATTCCAAGCAGCTGAAAGATCTACTTGGAAATGGTGAGTGAAATAGTGAGTGGAACAGCACTAAACAGAGATTATTTTTTTTTTTTCTGCTGTGCCTAGAAAGAAAGTGGGGAGGATGGCTTAGAAAGCTGAAGAGACTTAGTGGTTTTTAGAAGTGAAAACGAAAACCCCCAAGACCATTTTCTCTCACTCAGTCTGATGTCATCAGTTAAATTTCCCTTGTATTCATTCTATTGCATGATCTCTCTCTGCTTCTTCTATAGATGTTTCTGTCAAGGTGACACTGAGGCATCAGTCCTTGAAGCTGAAGAAGAAGCAGACCAAACGTGCCAAACACAAGATCAACCCTGTCTGGAACGAGATGATCATGTTTGAGGTGCCTCATGAGCTGCTGCGTGCCTCCAGTGTGGAGCTGGAAATGTTGAGCCAGGATGCTGCTGGGCAGAGCCATGTGCTCGGCAAGTGCAGCCTGGGCTTGCACGTCACAGGAACGGAGAGGAACCACTGGGAAGAAATGCTGAGAAATCCCAGGAGACAAATTGCCATGTGGCACCAGCTCCACATGTAGGTACACCATGATTACTGCCAACCAGATTTCCACCCAGCCTCTGAGCATGGAGGAATAAGCTGCATTTCACCTTCCACCTTACCATCCACAAAGTGGCCTGGCACAGCATTTTTCTTAGGCCACCCTCTCTGATTTCCTGCCAAAAGAATGCCTCATGATAGCCCAGGGAAATGTCTGGAAATCTAATTAGAGGACAATCTCTCACCCAATCAAGTGGTCTTCTGAAACAGGGGCTTGGCTGTCTACATGGTTTGAATTACTTTTATTAGCCTGCCCATTGTCATTTCTGTGAAGTCCCTGTTTCTGTAGAGGAGCAGAGGGAAGCAGAGGAATCATGGAAATTTAAGCTGCTTCTTGGCACCTGGCACTGTCACCCAAGTTAATGGTGAGGGCCTGCTCCATTATTACAAACATGCAGCAGCCATTTTGCCAGCCACAGTTTTTCATAATGCTATATAAGATCATAAGAAATGAAGATCACGACATTAATGTTGACTTCTGACCCAAAGTAATAGTATGAAGGAAAGAGAGAAGACATGTGGAAGCATAGACCAATTTACTGTAGATGGATATCTAGAAATAGAGAAAACAGAGGAAGAAGAGAGACAGGCAATACTATCATCCTGTGTAACCTTTGAAGCAAACACTGCCAAATAAGAAGTCAAATACTTTCCTTCACTTTTGTTTCCTAAAGTGTTTGATATCTTAGATTTAAGATTCATAAAAATTGTTGAAAGCATGAATGTTTCATGATCCTATGACAGAATACCCATATTTTCTATCTTTCTATAATGTCACCCAGGAAGACCCTAAACATGGACAAACAGTTATTGTGGATGTTACCTCCAAAATCTTGGACCAAATCCTTCTGCTTTCTGACATTTATTTTTTTTGTTTGGGAATTTCTGATCTGGAAAAGTCTCAAATACACTAATTATATTCCAGGCAGCATCTAAGACTAGACAAAATAAGTGGGATCATTTCATACCTTAGCAGATGATTGATGGTTTTGGTTTGACAGTTAACTATGACACTCAAATCCTCATACCAGCATTACTTGAAGACAACCCTTAAGAACTGACATCTATTTCATCACTTCCAGACAGAAGGAATTCACTGACCAGACAGACTCTCTAGGGCTGGTTTTTTTTTTTTTTTTTTTTTTTTTTTGGTGTGTGTACACTTTCAAGATTTGACATGGCTTAAATGTTACTGTTTACTGTCCTTTTATTGTCTAGATGGACTGAAAAGCTGGAATTGGCAGCAATGATGTTATGACCTCAAATACACACTGTTTGTTCTACCACTTTATTTCAAGTAGCAGACACAGCTTTGAGGGTCATGCATGGGGACAAAACATCTAAAAATCTGAGAACAGAATCATATGGTTTGTAACACTGAAAAACTCTGAGAACATTTTTTTCCCTGGGGTCAGCTATTAGAGGGTCCCTCTATTTCAAATAGAAATAAATTTATTTCAATAAATTAATTTATTTCAAATAGAAATAAATAGAGAAAGTGAAAACAACCAGAATCAGTCTCTGAAAACTGGCTGAAGAGCCAGGCACAGAAGTTTATGAACAGAGGGGTGATGTTCAGCTGGAAGCCACTCACTGTTACTGACTGGGGCTGGTATTTGGACCAACTCTGCTTAACATCTTCATTAATGACCTGAACAACAGGATGGAGCGCACCCTCAGCAAGCTTGCTGAGATTGATCCTTGGAGAAAATCAGAGAGAGACAGGGAAGTACATGTAAGTAAGTAAGTAAGGAAGGAAGAAAGCAAGGAAGGAAGGAAGGAAGGAAGAAAGCAAGGAAGGAAGGAAGGAAGCAAAAAATCCTTTTTTACTGTGAAGATGATCGAACACTGGAACAAGTTTCCAAAAGAGGTTGTTGATCCTTGGAGACACTCAAACCTGACTGGGCATGGTGCTGGACAACCTGCTGTAGTTTACCCTGGCTTGAGCAGGGATGGGGTTGGACAAGATGAGATCTTCAGAGGTCCTTTCCAACCTCAGTGATGTTGTAACTCTGTGAACAAATCAACAAGGTCAATGTACACTGGAAAACGTTATCCATACACTGCTATTCCCATTATAGGTGGTGTAGCCAGAAGTTACAGGAGCACTTTGAAGGAAGTGGTAAAAACAGCTTTGACCAAGCAAACACACAGAAAAGCAAAATATGTCAATGACTCATACCTAATAATTTCATCTCTGATATTGCTCTACTGGCTAGGAAGGATTTAAACAAAAACAGAATTGATTTATTTTTTTTGCTCTGTGGGCTTTTGTTTATTAAGAAAAAGATGTAGGATTCTGTGAATAAACTAGACACAGTAGAGATTTAGTTGATAGGGCATTCTTACTAGTTGCTTCAACACAATCCTAGTTATGTTCATGATTTGTCTGTATGTATTCCTATAGATTTGGAATAATGTTTTCCATTTAAGTGCAAAATTTGTTGTCATGTTGGTCTACTCTACCTGTAGTTTTCTGGCAATGCTGCAGTTTTCTTCTTTCTTTTTAGGATAATGATAAGAAGGATAACTTCATGGTATGATGCTATTTGGCTGGCACTGAAAGCCTGAAGGGCCAAATATTTGTCTTGCTGCCAAGAGATTTCTCTAGTTCTGCCTCCTTATTTTAATGAGCCTTTTATAACGTCTTGGTGACTGATTGTAAACAGCATTATCTGCCTCTGCCCCTGGTGATTTTGGCACACCCTGTAATTAGATAGCAATCCTACAGCATCTAAGAAATAGCCCCCTGAAATCTGATTTTGCTGTGAAAAAGAATAATGTCCTCTTTTACTGCAGAAAAAGATGTATATATAGATGAATACAAAACTTTCTTAGGGCAAAGTGGTGGCATTGGTGTTAAAGACTGGTGTTGTTCCCTCCTTTGCTGCATCAGAATTGAAATGGGGAAGAGCAGTACAAATGTATGCATCTCTCTGGTTCGATCTTTTCTGTTTTTCTGGCATTTTAGCCTGGGAAGAATGTTTTTTGCATTCACCACAGTCTTAACAACCTGCCAGGTGTTGGTTTAATGAGTGCCGTTTGTTCAGGGACTAAAAGGCAGTGCAGTTAAGGGTGCTGGCTCCCATGAGCAGAAGGAATGCTGCGTACGTGTGGTACTGGAGGGGCAGGGACGCCCAGCCCGGGCCCTTTTGAACTCTGTTAATAGGGGCTGTTTGTCATCACATTCCTGCACCTGTCCAGGGCCCTGCCCTTATCCCAGGTAACCCACTGCCTGTATCACATGTTTAGCCATGCTTGTATGTCCCCGAGCCCTGGCACGGTAGGAGCTGGACAGGCCCAGGCAGATGAATTACGCAGTTACTGTTATTATAAATATAAACAAAAAGTATTGGAAATCCTCAGTGTCATCATAATGAGTAGTTTCAGCAATACGAGCAGTAAAAGCATCATTTCAGCATAAAATTGCCAGAGAACTGAGGCAGACAGCTCCATGGTTTTCAGTTCCTGAAGCTGTAAATACAGGAATATCAGCGAGCATGACTGACATGTCTGAAATTAAGGGCTGCTGCTTATAAACTGCATTGTACCAGAAGAAGCTAAAAAAAAAGCAGTTATGACAACTAATGTTCTTAAGCTCTGTGTGTGACCAAGCAGCCAGGTATTTAGATTCCCCAGTGGTGATTCAGAGGCTGCACAGATCATTCTGCCTACTATAACCCACTAACATGAATGTGCAAGTATGGCTGTAAGTGAAGTAAGGAGGAAGGAAAAAAATGCAGTCAATCTGGTTAAAAAGAGCAGTCCTTTTCACAAAGGGGACAGGGACTCTGAGGATGGGGGTTCACTATTCCTCATCCAGTTGCAGAAACCAAACGAGACTACTGCTGTCAGACAGAATGAGAAACGCAGCTCCCGTATTGCATCCAGCATCCCCTGGGAGAAAGCTGGTCTTCTGCTGAGACCTCTGTTCACAGGAGGGAACTGAGAGGCCAGAAGAAGTAACCTGTGGCTGCATTAAGGTGCTATTTGGTCAAAACATAGAAGATAGCCATATGTTGTCTTGCCTTGGCCTGCCCTCAGAGCTAGTACTCTGCATTTTTTTAGCATCTGTCATCAGTACTTTGTGGGAGTAGTGTCCCAAGACACACATTTTTTACTGGAATGGAGGAGGTTGTAATTTGGGCTCTAGAAATACAGCCCAAGGTTTGCCCAAATTTTCCTGATGTGTGTGAATCTGAGATTCTGGACCTGATCTTCATCAAATGGTGTGCAGGAAACTGGATGTTACTTTAATTACTTGCTTCCTGTGATGACCATTGAAAAGGCAAACCGTGTAGTTATTTCCCACATCAGTGCTGCCACCTCTGCAGCATAAAGACACAATAGCTGTAAATTGCATACTATGCGTTACAGCTCAACTGTTCTTCACCACTGGCAAGCACATGATTTATAGACAGCAATATGGTGGGAAATAGTTTAAAAACTGTATCAGTAGCAGGGGTCTGAGTTAAGCACAATGACGTTTAGTTAAATCCGGGAGCCAAGGTAGCTTGGACCACGCTTCTTGCACTCTTTTGGAGCTCAGTTTGAAGTTTGATTGGATTGAAGGGCAAAGCTTTGGCAGCATCTTTTTTGTGTTTCAGAATGTAACTATGTCTCAAAATGAATTTGGTTCGTGTGCTGAAAGATAAGCATGATGAGCAAATATAAATACTTGACACTTTATATTGTTTTATTTTGTGTTGGTAATAGCAAACTCTACAACAATAGCGGTAAAGTGAAATAGTGTTTTGTGGCCTTCCAGCATGAGAAGGCTTTTCTGCTTACTCAGTCCTTCAGTGTTTGAATGTGTTTATTGTACAGAGCAGATATTGTTTGTCAAGACTATATTGTACGCACAGTCCAAAGCACAAACAAGAGCATGAGACTCAACCATTGTGTCTAATGTTACAGCACAAAATGTAAATCACCACAAGTAAATAATTCCAAACTGTATTGGCGTTGTGTCTGTTTGTTTGCTGTAGGGTAAGTCCCCTGTGCGTGTGGCTCGCAAGCCAGAGGTACAAACTACTGGGATAAGTCCACAGGAGGTCCTCTGAATGGTACCTCCAAGGGATGGGTATGTGATGAGAAGGGGAGCAGCCAGGAGTGGAGTCCTGTTCTGGCCAAACATTGGAAAGCTGTTGGCTTTTCATCAGGGTGGTAGCTAGGCAAAGCTGTAAAGGCTTTCCTGCAGCTTGGAGGTTAGGGAATAGGATCTGGCAGTCAGCTTTCACCCAGATACAGGCTCCATCTCTGAAACAAAGCTAAGAAGTGAACTTGGATTCAGCCTTCTTGCTGATCTCAGTACTTTCTGGGGGGTGCTGATGATACTCTGCAAACCACGCACCAATAGGAGCAAATACCTGCCTAACTGACCTAATACTATCACCAGAATTAGCTGGTTCCTAACAAGACACGAAGATCAAAAACTACACATAAAAGAAACTGAAGACAGATTTGGGGGGCAGGAGTGGGAGCTATTTACCTCATTGACAGTTTGGGGGCAATCTGTCACCCATCACAGTCAGTGTTAAAGCACAAGGAGAAACAGCAAAGCAGAGTCTGAAGGAGCTCCAGGCTGTTGCTGGCTTCACAGAGAGGGCTGATGCTCGTCTGTCAGCTGCACCTCAGAGCTGATGCTGCTGGAGCATTCGCCGCAGAGGCGGAGGGAAAGGAGCTGCATGTATGCCCCACAGAGCATTGAACAGGGGCAGCGTGTTTGACATGGACAAATCTCCCTGCCCAGAGGATCAATGCTGGGCTCCTCAGTAATTGCCAGCCCAGCCTGTTCAGAAGGAGCAACAGCCTCTACAGAACCATCCTCCTTCTGCCCCTACTGCTCATTGCCACATTGGGTTTATTAGAACTTTTTTTTTTGCCACCATTATTTAAAAATTAAAATGGGGCTGGTCCTTAATCCTCTGTGTGCCAGGAGAGAGGGGCACCTAACCCAATGGATTTGTTGCAGCTATGGCAAGTGCTGGGCGTAGAGGTCTGTAGCCTGTTCCTCCCTTTCCTTGCACCTTGACTGGTGATCTCTGATAAACTGAACAAGGAAGGGGCCCCAAATGTCCCTGGAAAGACACCTCAGGTCTGACACAAACCCGCTGGCTCTGCCAGCACCATCTCTATCCTATCCTGGCCCTGGTGTGCCTGCTGTGCCGTCTCCACGTGGCTCGTCCACCCTGCACCATCTCCCCAGAAACGGGGACAGCTGACAGCAGTGCAGACAGAAAGCTTGTTTTTCCCCTTGCATCAAAACAACTTAAAACGAGGGACTTCAGAGAGCTGAGAAGTCTCGTTAGCGCAGATGCTGTTCCGCAGGAGCCTTTGATTATCCGTCGGATATTTTTAGAGCCCCTTGTAAACGAGCTGTGCTTCTGTTTGTGTGGCAACAGCTCTGTGAGCAGCTGCATCTGTTCCCCTGTGCCCACTGCTGTGTGCTGCTGTGGGGCTGGACCCTGTTTCCCCTACAAGCCTCCTGTTTCCAGGAAGGGACAGCACGTTTGGTTTTTGGCTAAATTAAGTTTTGAGTGCCAGCTGCTAACAACAGCCATCTCTGTGGAGCACGGCCAAGACACCAGCAGAGCTGGGGAAGAGCATGCCAGGCGTTAATGCTATGACAACCATCACCGAGGAATTTTTCAATTTCCTTTTCGCTCGTATTGACATGGGAATCAGTGGTCCTAAAAATGAAGGGCACCTTTAGCCCTAGACCAGATAAATTCGTGCAAGCTTCCCTTCCTTACATTGACTCAGATCGTGTACTTTGCTTGAAGGAATCTTGCTTTTAAGTCCTCAATCTGCAGCTATCAGCAAGGAGGCCGATCACTGCCAAAAGCAGCAGTCAAGTGTCCGCAGCACAAAACACTTCTAGGAAATTAATTACAAATCAGCAATGAATTTTACATGCTGCTCTTACTCTTCACACATGGTTGATCTGCTGAAAGTGAAGCATCACCCTGCCTGGTGTGCTATCAATTGACTAGCAAAGACAAAACCCCAGGGACAGGGTTTCCACTGCTGGCTGCCGAGTGCCCAGCAAACCCCAACCCCATGGAGCTGGAGCTAAGCCCTGGCTGCTGGCAGGGTTTAGCTGGGCTTATTTACTGCTCAGAAACAAACGAGTTTAATCAGTGCAGTGAAAGCTGCCAGAAAATGGCAAATCATTTGTAATACTTGGATTGTTCCGTGTCTTCAAGGAAGTCACTAAGAAAAACCTTTCCTAAGTGAACACTAATTTTTGGCTATTTTCACTTCAGTCTGGAAATTGCCTCTCGCTTCTAGTCCCTACGGCTGTCATTGTCTTTGGCTAAAACTGGGGACACTGAGTTCTGAAACCGATGTACAGCTACTCACTGGAAGTCATTTGTGCTCCTGAATGCGTGTTTTCCCCCTAGGCCCAGCTCTCCCATCAGCTACAGCCTGTGAGCCCTCTAAGCCCTAACCTCCTTCAAGGCCAGAATTTGTACTCATGTTTCCTTCTATCCAGGACTGGCAAAGTGCTCAGCACCAGTGAGACACAGCAAGTCAACAGGTCAAAGCCCAGGACTGTAAGGATTTATATTCCTATGGATTCCCTAAGGGGGAACAACCCCCTTTCTAAACCATACACATCCATTGTATTAAGTTTGCTAACAGTTAAATAACTTGCCTACCTCATGTAACACTAGTTGATTGACTGGTATCCATTTCCAGGATTAACTGGAAAACTCAAGATTCACCCATACCCAGTTAAATTAAACAGCCAGTCCTGTTTACAACAGTTTTCACGTCTCAGTACTGAGGCTCAGCAATATTATCTGTACCAACCCTCTCAGTTGTAGTTCTGCATACAGTATCCCTCCTCCTGTGTTTTCTGGTTCTCTCCCACTGACATACAGACACATTTACATTTGAGAGAGTAACTGTTTGAGCTGGAAGGGCCTTGCCCGCCTACATTTCTGTCTACCAGATGTTGGCAGCCTGTGCTAGGGCTGGCGTGCAAAACTGAACCAAAGCAAAGGAAGGATGGGCCCCGTTGCACCTTCCTGGGGGGCTCAGTCCCCAGCAGCTACCAGGCTGAGCTGGCGAGGGGAGGAGGTTATACTTCAAGCTTTAACAGCTGTTAATTCAGGAAACACAACTCACAGTGATCATCCATGGACGCTCCTGCTTGCCCTTGGTAAAATGATGCAGCTCCCTCCCAGGAGGTGGTGGACCTGCTCACTGAGCAGCTGGCAGGAGCATTTTGTGGGATTTTTGCAATTACAAACAGCACGTTTGGGAATGGGTCACCTAAGATGGAGAGCTACCAGTAGCTCAGGAGGCTGCAACTTACCCTGCTGGATAAATGATCACTGGACCCGTGCCTTACACTCACCATCCACCAAAATGGGCTGGGGATGAGGGGGTGCATCTGTTTGGATGCCCTTGTTTTGGGAAAATCACGTTAACAATAACAATAGAAAGCATTAGCAACCCGACTTGATAAATTTAAATGTTTTTTTTATTAACAATCATTTTACATTACAAGGATAATATGACAAAAGGAAGGTTCTCGTGTACATACTATGATATATCAACATAGCTCTATTCGTATCCAGTGTCCTAGGTCCTTTCACACAGGTACTATAAAGCATAGTCTGTAAAGTAATAACATTTTAATGTTCTCCAAAAGAGTGATATTAACATATTAATACATATGTAGTAATAGACTTCTAGATATTTTTCTCTCATTGTGTGTGTGTGTGTGTGTGGTGGGTGGGTGGGTGTGAGATAGCTTGAAACAGTTCAGCAGGGCTGTGCTTGGGTGGGGGTACGGAGAGGTTTGGGACAAAACCTTCTGTTTTCTGGAAGTAAGAACGAGAAACGCATCTCGCCAACAGTCGGGTGAGCCCGTGAGGACGCCACGACTGGCAGAAAGCTCTGCAGCCCTCCCGTAGCATCTGGGACATTACAGCATTATGAGACGCGGTTCCCCCACCTGGCCCAGCGAGCTTATTCGACGTGAGGTGCAGTGCATCAGAGTCCGTGGCCCGGCGGCAGCGTGCCCGCTGGCCGAGCCTGCATGAGTGTCAGTGGCATCCGGAGGAGGGGGCCGGGAGCGAGGAAACCCTCTCTGAGGTTGGTGAGGAGCGGGGCCGGGAGCTGCCCGCTGCGGGCTGAGGTGGATTACCAGTTGTGTGGAGGCGAGAGGCCTTGTTATGGCGGGGGGGGGGGGGATGTGGAGTTTGGGGGGAGCTTGCACAGCGCCGGCTCGTGCGATACCAGTGTAAGCCAACTGTTGGGATTATCGCCCACCCTCCTCCCAGCAGAAGGTGAAAATGGAAACAACCGAGCGTGCGGTGAGGTGGCCACCAGGCCCAGCCAGGCCTCTGCTCGTGGCCTGTCACCGCCAGACCCACTGCTGGGCCCGTGCCGACAGCTGCCGCCTGAGGAGAGAGGCATGGGGGCAGGTGGAGGAGCTGAACCACGGGAGCCACTGCCTGGACCCACCCCAAGTCCCAGCACAGATATGCTGGGCACGTAAGCACAGGTCTGCTTGTGCGGCAAGCCCTTCTTGCTCGCCGCTCTGGCTCCATAGGGAGCGTCCCTGCCAGCTCTGACCGTGTGACCATCCCTCAACTCACAACGCATCGGCTCTCCTTGCTTTATTCCAGCTACATCGCTGATCACCGACTGACTGATAACCTGTGCAAACGCGCTCTCTTGCCCCGTGCTGTGCTAGTGACAGCAGGTGGGAAAAGTAGAGCCATGCTTTTGCGGCACGGGTACGCTCAGTTGCCAACCACATCCATGCAGAGACAGAAAAGTGCATATGAGGGTGGGATACACGTCTGTCCAAGTGTGAGCACACAGGACCTTCACCAAAGGCTTACTCAGAAGAAGACAAGGACACTCGAGTGTGCTCCCACACCATGACATTCCTGTGTTACACAAACCTTATTGAGCACTTGGTGAACATGCCAGCAAGGAGCCCCCTTGCCCTAACCACAGCAAAGCCCCTCTCTGTAGAGTGCTATATGTGTAAATGTAGGCCTCAGTGTATGGCTAAAACTGTCCCAAAGTCCAAAGTCTTCAGTGTTACATGCCTTGTGCCAGAACACAGGGCCAGCCTTACACAAGGGTGGTTGATTCTATCTCTATATTATATCTTTATATCTATCGAAAACATAGAAATATATAAATATATAGGATTTTATTTATAGATATATAAGCATGTGATTTTTATCTTTTGTACGGTGTGTATATGTACTGGGATGTGCGTATATACAATATATAGACTGTATGCATATGTACTGTATACATACACTAGCTTACATGCACACACATCATACATGTCTCCAAGGGAGACAGGAATTGCATAGGCATTACTGCATTGAATACAATGGCTGGGGGAGCAACGTACCATTTCTCTGCTTTTAAGACCTCTTTCGACAGGGCTGAGAGGGGAATCTGCAAAAGCAGAGCATGTTGCTGCTTATTTGCAAGCCGGCTGTTTAAGGTGTTTTACCCATCGGTCAAACAGCAATACAAATGAGATAAAAAGGAAAGGGGACACCGAAGACCCTGCGGGCCACCTGGTTGAGTTTGTGCTGTGAGAAAGAAATAGACGGAGCCTGAATCACGTCTGAGGATTCCTATCAGCAAAAGCGCAACTGGCACGGGGGACATTGCTGGGGTCAGCGCAAACCCCAGCATGGACAACACACCGGGACCCTGCCCACTGCCTCTCCTCCCCACGGCTCCCGCGCGCTGCTGCTGGTATGGGAAGAGCTTTGGTCTCTTGTTCCGTGAGGATTATCCCTGCTGAGTTCGGTCTCGTGGCCAGAGGGCCCTGGATCCCGCAGCCACGGGTGAGCCCTGCAGAAGGATGTGCTTAAGGGGTTCTGCTTCGCAGCAGGTGATAAGAGTCAAGGAGCTTGAGCAAAAATTGGCAACCAAAAAGCCCATGGGCTAGAAGTCCAAACCCTGGGGGTCTGAAGAGGTGCATGTTATTCACAGTCAGATGCCCTAGCTAGGAAGGGGAGGGGAGGAGAAGATAAAGAGCTCATCTGAGAAAAACAAACCCCTCCTCTCTGCTGCTGTGGCCGCTCAAGATGCTGTGAGCAATATGCTCAAAACAACCTTCCCCTTGGGTCAGGGCAGCGGGAAGGGCACTGATTAAAGCCGGTGCACCGCGACCTCCCAGCCAAGGTGGCCTCTCTCTGCCCTGCACCGTGACCTCCTTACCACTGCCACTGCCCGGCCTCGCATCCCCTCGAGCCGGCTGCTTGCATTTGCAAACAGGGCACAGAAAGGCACCTGCTCTCAGGAAAGGCTGGCCAGGCAGGGTGCCGAAAAGCCAAGGGCGCTTTGCATTGTTATTCCTCTCCCCCCCCCAGTCTTGCTCGTGCGGGCAGTCACGTTTCCATCCACAGGACTATCCATGTGAGTAACAGCTACAGATCTGAGATAGGTGGATAAACCTGGAGGGAAAACTTGCAAAGCACCTGCATTTGTCTAGTACAAAGGCTGGGTTTATTTTCTCATGTGGGGGTGATGGGGAGTTCTTTGTGTTGCGGCTGCTGCACCGAGTGCTCATTTCCCCCCATGACCAATGCAAGGGGTCTCTGACCTTTCCCGCTCATGGGTATCAGCAATATCCAGTCCTGGGGAATTGTTCTTCCCACAGACCCTGCTCACGGACACACGCAAAGTTATTTGCAAAAGAAACAAACGCTTTCCCTTTTTCAGCTGGCTGCCTGGAGAAAAAGCCACCCGCTGCACGTTTCACTTTGCCGCTGGGAATAAGAGCACCCAGTGAAAGATGTCGCTGATGAAAGTGGGATTTGCAAATGAACCAAAAGGAAGGAGTGGCAAATTACAGGAATCATTTCTGAACAAGTCTCTGGCAGCTTTTACCTTGCCAACCAAGGCAAGGTACCATTTTTTTCCCCAGTGGCAAAAAAAGCAAAGAGGTTTGGAGTGGAGGCTGCACGCAGGCATTTTAGGCGGCTCAGCACAAGCACTGGGGAATTGTTCCTGTTTACAGAGGTGCCTGGAGCCTGTTCCCAAGTGTCTCTTCCCTCACGTAGGCTTCCATGAAAAAAAGCCCCATGCCAAGGAGTTTTCAGTGCTGCAAACAGTAAGGCAGGTGATTTTTTTTTCTCCCCCACAAAGAGGTATGGAGTTGAGAAAAGGAAAATTAAAAAAGAGGAGGAGGGAAACTGTCTTGCTGGCCTCTCTTACAGCAGCTCACAGCAAGTATATATATATTTTTGTTATTTTTGCTCCTGCTGCCACACTTCCCTAGACATCTGTGCACACCTTGAGCAGGAAGACTCTCCTACATCTGCCTGTCTCCAACATCTAAGTTTACCTCGCCCATCTCCAGGTCAGGGACCCACCGAGCAGCAATTCCTCTACAGGGACTCTCTTTTTGCTTTTACCACCTCCTCAAATTGTAATTAAGGAGGAGACATGCCATCTCCCTGGAAGGAAACAGATCCGTCAGCTTTACGGCAGCACCATGAGCAAAAACCAACTGCTGGGTCTGGAGGGCCACAAACAGCTCGTGTACAGAGATCCCTATTTTGTGGTCACACAAAGAGCTGCCTTGAGTCTGTACCATGCCGGAGGGCTTCCGGCTTAACTCTTACACCTTTAGGCAAATGGATCAATTTGATCACATCATTTACTGGGAAAGGCAGGGAAAAAAAATGCAAGAACAGTTTAGGCAAATAAAACAATTTTCTGCTTGCTAGGCGCTGTGTATTGATGCCCCGGCACCACTACGGAGCGATGCCCCAACCTAGTCCGCAACGTGCCAGAGGGTAGCGGGGAGAAGTGTCCGTGCCCACCCACTGTTCGGAGGCACACGGGGGGCCCCGGCACATTTGCTCCCCCCCATCTGAACGAGCCCGCGGCAGGCCACACGTCATCTGAGGTACGGTATGAGGGAAAGGGTGTAAGTGCTACGGACTGCAGCCCGCCCGCCTGGCCATCCCGCGGCATGTGCGGGAGCTGCTCTGCCCCTCTCAAACCACACCGGGGCTGAGTTGGGGCAGAGGAGGCAAGGGTTGGCCACAGCAAGAGCTCCAGCCAGGCTCCACCTCTCCTCCTCGCCATGGGGATAGAGGGAAAGCATTTCCAAAGCTCGGACAAAAACACCAGCCTGGCTGTGTCCGCGGGTCAGAGAGCTGAGCCGGTAGGCAGTGGCTTGGTTGCCCACCGACATTAACCGTGCCGGTCTGCTGAGGGCGAACGGGTTAGTGGGAGGTGAGTGAGATCTAGGTAGAGGTGTGTGTTTTCCTGGGGAAGACAGTGTGTGAACCCTGGCAGTGAAAGTGACTCCGAGAGAGATCGGTTCCAAACATGCTACATCTCCATTGAAAACAAACGAAAAAAGTTTAAAAAATAAAATAATATTATATATATATATATATTTATATAAATGAAAAGCTATCAACTAGCAGCAACGGTTCTAGAGATATCTTAGCACCAAGACCAAGGGCAGGGGGGTAACAGGAGAAAGGAAAGGTTCAGTGTTGCTGATACCACCATCATGTTTCCAAACAACACAGCTTGGCACAAAGCTCATCCCTCTGGGAAGTGAGAACCTGTCAGCTCGGAGACCTTCTGGACAACAGGTTCTCACTCCCATGATGGTCTGGTCAGGTTGGTGCTGTCCATGCCACATCAGCGGGGCAAGGCACTAGCATCTGTGGAGTTTTTGCACCTTTTTTGTTTCTTTTTTTTTTTTTTTTTTTTTTTTTTGCTTTTCTAACCTGAAGTGATATTTTTGTGAAAGCGTGGAGCTCGTTTACTTTACAACAATAAAACAAAGAAGAACCCCAAGCCCACAGAACAATCTCTTTTGTGATAGAAGGTGCAAGTCCCCCATTCACATTTCGGCTGGACTCCGCATCCCTTCAAGAAAGGAAGAAATGTTTCACAGGAAGAAGTAGAGCATCCCTTCTTCCTGCTGTCATCAGTCTGCTGTGCTGTGGAACATGTTACCTTGGTCACAAGAGAATACGTGAACCTTTATAGGACATCATCACATGATTATAATCCAAGATAATCTTGCATTGATAGCCCCTGCTACCAAACTGCAGCAGGTTTTTCTTTCAGTCATTCCAAACAAAACAAAACAAAACAAAACAAACAAACAAAAACCCCACAACAATCTAGGATTATAAAGACATAGTATAAATAATGTAAATTAGAATATAATTTTTTAAGCCTTTGAATCTCTGCCCAGAGATGGCTCTTGACTCATTGGCTGTCTAGCTTCCACAGCAGCCCTGGTTTTGAATGAATAGTTGTATATATATATATATATATATTTATTTCCTACAATATAAAAATATAAATGCAAAAATTTCCCCCTGCCTTCTCTATTTTGCTATTTTATAGTCTGCACATGACATCATGTTATAATATATGTATGATAGACTGGTACTATGGTTATCATAAAAGGAGCTGAAAGCCAAGTATTACTCTACAGCCCAAAAGTAGGGAGAACTGAGAAAGGGGCATCACAGTTTAGTGGAGGCATGTGTTTCTGAAAAAAAAAAACCAAAAACCCAGCCCCAGCCCTTCCCTCCACCCAGTAACCTCTGTGAGTGCAAGAAGCTCCCACTCGAACAGAGAGCACCAGGTGGAGCTGGGCAGCCAGGGACAACACGAACGCACAGGATGCTCTGTCGGAAATCAGAAATCTGACGGTCGTCAACAAAAGGCTCAAATGGCTCAATAACTGGACTGAACAACGAAAAGAGAGGCAGAGATTAAAACTGAGGAAAACAACAACAACAACAACGACACAAAAATCAACCCAACAAACCAACAACACACATACAAAGGAAACCGCCGGGAGAAGGAGGCTGACAAAGACCCGTCATCTAGCTTATAGATTGTTAGGTTTGAACATGTAGAGTATGGCCCCAGCACATGCTTCTAAAGAATGAAATGTTGCCACCTACACTGCAGCTGCCATGGTTGGAGACACCAGTAAATTTCTAAACATTGTCTCAATCTTTAAAATTCTGCTTAGCTTCTATCAGACGCACATCGTCTTAACTTTTAAATTTTCAGTGTGGGTTTTTCCTTAATATATATAATATATATATATATTTTATATAATATATCAAAGTTTAGAGTATAGATTAAAAAAATTATTCAACAGCTTTCTGATCTGAGGCATTCCTTTCTAAATATCGGGGTAAAACTCAGAGCCATGGTCCATGCTCTGCAACATCGGCTTCTGATCGAGAGACGACATCCTGCTCAGCATCTCAGCTGACAGTGCGTAACTATTGCCCGACTTTTCCTCGAACCAACTATCTAGCGCCCGTTTGCAATCGAAGTTGGCAATGGGCGGCCCATTAACGGCAATCGTCAGCAAATCACTGAGCTGCTCCAGTGTGAGCCGAGAGCGGTTGTTTTTGCGCACTCTCTGCAGGGCGTTGCGCCCCTTCTCACAGCAGGCCGATGAGGTGGGAAGGACTTTGAGGATCTGAACTATTTTATTTAGGAGGGGGAATCTCTGTTTGTATTTACAAATGTGACTGAGTAAGTCTTTAAAACCATTTTTGGTATAATAATCCACCTTGAGTTCTCGCCACTCCATCAGCAAACTCCCTCGGGTGTCCATCCCCTCTCTGCAAACCTCTCTGGAAAATGATGGGACCGTCTCCAGGTGTTCAAATATTTGTACCATATCCTCCTTCCCATAGCTCATGAGCTCATCAGTGCTTCTGGGCCAAGCTGCAAGGTCAAATACCTGACAGGCTTTCACAAATGTCCGGCTACGGGAATCGAACCTTTGGGCTAGGATCACCTGGGTCTTCTGGCAGATCTTTTCTCTGATTGACTGGAATTTGGCTTCAGCCACCCGTAGGTTTTTCACAGCAATGCCATTAAAGCTTTCACGGAAGTTTTCCTCAAATTCCTGCAGGTACTCCCCAGGCGAGTCTGCTAGCCGACTGATCTCCTGGATAGCCTCCTCTATTTTATCGTCCACCTGCGACACAAGAAGGTACTCCCCTTGGAAGACATAGGCAAGGCGTGAAAGCACAGCAATCACATCCAGCAGGAAGTAGATGAGTTTAATCGACTGGTAGTCCATTAGGAACTGGAGGAGGGCCAAGGCAATCGCGGAAGCATCTGCCCTCTGGGTCTGGCCGCTGACGTCTTTGAGATGGGCCACGACCTCAAGGTAATCCTTGATGAGAGCGTTGAGCACATTCTGCTCCCCAATGATCCACTTCACTGCTCGAATGTCCCCCAAGAACTCAGTCTCCTCGCACAGAGTGGCAGCAGTGACCCTCAGCTCGCACATCAGTCGGGGAGAGTAACGATAGAAACTGAGCAGCTGCTTCAGATTGTTTTCCAGCTCCTCCAGGCACGGCAGTTCTTTCCCACTGATTGCATCCAAAATCTCCAAATGAGGTCTGTGTACCATAAAGGGCAGGCAGAGAAGCCACGGCAAGGTCTTTCTGATTGTCATGAACAAGTTAGCTCTCAGGCTGGCAGTAATGTTAGCACCATCGACTCCCAAGCCAATAGTTGGCTTCTCATCCTGCAGTCGGATTCCCAGGCTGGAAAAGGCCCTGTCTAATGCTTGGAGGTAACTGTCTGTTGTAGAAAAACCCAGTTCTTGAAGAGACAGGAATTCAGTTGCCGGAGGCCCATCGCTGCTCGTGTACTGTACATAAACCGCAACTGTGTCGGCAAGCACGTCATCGCTCTGCCCATCCAGAATGATGCTGAGGAAAGGAGACTGTCGGATGCGCTCGACCAGGTCCTCTCGAAGAGCCCGGGCGATATGGTGGATTAAGATTTGGCAGTCTCCCTCATTCATGTATTGATCCACCACCTTGAGTTCACACTTTCTCAGTAGTTCTGCCAGAGGCCTGAAGTCATAGTAGGGCCTGCCCTCCAGAGCCAAGTGGTAGGCCGTGTTGAAGAGCAAGGTCATATTTCGGCACATCTCTTCTGTCTTCTCTGGGTGCATTCTGAGCTTGTAAAGCTGCAGGCACTTCTTGTGGAGGTTGCTCTGGCTGTGAAGCTTTATTGTGTGTATCTTGAACTGCTTCGAGCCAATGATGAAGGCTGAAGTCCGAGAGGATTGCACTGTGTACTGCCTACAGACGTGGCACCACATTTCATTCAATGTCGGGGAGTACCGCAGGAACCAAAACTTTTTAAGCCACTCTTGCTTGAACCGCCGTATCCTCCGGCCCGTTGCAGAAGACATCTTGGAAGGCTCGTCTGTAGCAGCAATCATGTCATTGGAAACTGATTCATCAGCAGAATCCACCTCTTGATCATCATCCTCCATGATGGTGGGAACAGAGATGATGCTTTCTGAAGCTGGGAAAAAAAAAAAAAGAAAAGGAGGAAAAAATAAGGTATTTAACAAGACTGAGCTAGCGAAGCATACAACTTGTGACAGTAGAGCACTGCCTGATGAGCTGGACATACCCTGCCCACAATGCACTACGGGTACAATTTGAATTACATCTTAGAAGGAAAAATAAACCAACATTTCTGCATATGAACTTTGTCTCCAACATGCCACAAAGGACAGCAAGAAATGACAGTATACATCCTGGCTACTTGCACAATACATGGTATGACCCAAATATTCCTTTGGTGAAGGCTCCTGGCTGCTCAATAGCATACTCCTGTTAGAAATGAAATACCTTCAAAAAGGGGCACATGTTTTGTGGTAAGGCAGTGGAGAAAACAGAGAGTGCCTTCCAGTGAAGGCACAGCCTTCCTGACACAGCCAGGCACACACTATTTCATACACAAAGAGCGCAAACTTCAGTGTTGCCACTGAGTCATTCGGACTTTCAAGCAATGCTTCTTGGTAGCATGTAAGGTACTGGGGAGGGGCTTCCGCTGAAAGAGAATGCATCAAAAATACAGCAAACAAACTGTCTGCAATGGAATGTCTCTTTTATTGGCAGTGCATGATTGATTACAATGGCAACAAATAGAGCGAGTCGTCATACAGAGTCTTTCCCAGACAGTGTCTTCCACTGTGCCTCCAGCATCAGTTCTTGTCCCACCCGTTCACAAAACCTGACAACGAACCTTCCACGGAACCACGTGTTCACCTGAATACTCAGAGCAAAACGCTTTAGATGGGTACACAGCACACAGGCATCTCCCTACTTTCCTTAGGCAGGGATTGGAGAAGGCTGATACTCGGCAAGGCTTACCTGTGGGGTCTGAGAACTCTTGGAGCTCGGGTACCTGGGGCGGTAGCTCAGGTGGCTCAGGTAACTTCCCAGATCTCAGCATGTCTAACTCAGCCTGCAGCTCCCGGATCTTCTTCTTCAGGCGGATGCAGTTAGGGCAGAAGGAGGTGGTGGGGATTTCATGGGAGTTGCCCTGCGCAGAGGCCAGTGACAGCTCAGTTGGGCTGTCTGCTTTCAGAGACAGAGGCTCTTCTTCATCGTCATCAAGGATCCCCACTTCTTTGGCAGAACTAAAAGAGGAACCATGGGGGATCTTCCACTCCTCTTCACTCCGGTTTCTGCTGAGGTTCAGGGAGCCGTGCTGCATGGCAGTGCCACACCTCTCAAAAATGTCTTCAGCCTGGTATTTAGATGCTGTTCTGATGGAAAGTGGTGTACTTGTTGCTAACTGGTTCTCTTCAAATTTGGCAGACTCCAATGAAGCCTCCAGGACATCTTTGAAGATGAGGTCAATCTTTTTTTTCTTTGTTTGGGGGTGAGATTCCCCCTCGTCACAGCTGCGCTTGTAGGGGCTCTTCCCTTGCTTTAATGTAGTGAGCTGGAGTGGCCCCCTCATGTCCTCTTGATTTTCCACATTCTTTTCTGACTTTTCCCTCTGTAACCTTTTGTCTCCTAGAAAGGAAAATGAGGGGTGGGGATTATCACCGGGAACCGAGCAACATCCCTCAATCTAAAACTTGAATGAAACAAACAAAAAAAAAAGAACAAAAAGGTAGGCTGAATCCCTGCAGGTCTGTACATTGCGTTATAAACCAGGGAACTGACACGACTCAGTGGAAACCGAGGCTCGCGAGAGGAGGAGCCCTGCTAATGGGCACGTCCGCAAAAACAGAGACAGTCCTGGGTAGCCACAGCGGAGTAGGACCCACACACTTTAAAGAGAAGAGAAACTACAGGCAGCCTGTTTAACCTAGCGGTATAACCAACCTGTGGTGGAAGGAGCCTATGAGGTAAATCACTGATCATGGTGGAACCTAATGCCCAGAGCCCAAATGCCATTTTGGCTGGCTGGAAGACCTGTGCCTGTTTTGACTTGGTAAAAGGTATCGAGTGTACAGCAGTGCAGCGAGAGATTCAGACTGTTTCACGAGAACCCCAGCATCTGTGCACGCCACAGCACAAAGGTTGCATCCCCCTTTACTCTCTTTCAGTTTGGAGGCTGCTCCAGAAATGCAAAGGCAAAGGAGTAAAAATAACTTGCAGTCTTAAAGCCCAAAGTACGCATTGTCAACTGAGCTACAATGGGTGTATGCCCTCCAAGGATGGGGTACCTAGCTTGTGCCAGTGGAGTCTAAGAGCATGGCCATTCAGTGATTAAAAAAAAACAAAACACATTAATAAAAGCAACCTCATACAAATTATTAATTGCTTAAAATAAAGGGAATAGCCAGATTTCCTTACCTGGAAATTCAAAAGACGATAGGTTTGGCTCAATTTCCATCATTCTTCTATCTTGTAAATAACTTCAAGCATTGATGGCTTCCCAAACAAGACGCTGCTTTATGCTGCTTTTTGGTTTTGTTTGCTTTTAAAGTGTATTCATGCTTTCATAAGAGTTACGGAGTAAAAGCTACCGTTCCCTCTCTAAGGAGAGCAATGCTAAGAATGCAGAAAAGATGCAAGACTCAAAAACAGTTAGAGTAAGGCACCATAAAAAGGGTTGGCCTGCATGGCAGGGGTTTTGTACTGGGTTTTGATACTGGCTGGGAACCCCAGACACTTCTTGAGCGAATCCATAACAACAGCCCTTGTTTGCAACGCATCCTGTTGGAGAATTTATACGGGCAGAGCTTTGGGTCTCTGTCCTAACATCTTCTCTGTTATGGACTCTAAGAACTATTGGCAGAGGTAGGGTTTTAGAGAATGGATCCTTCTTCTTTCTTGGTGATTTTTTCCCCTAGCCAACTGAACGATTTGGCCCTATGGAAAAGCCAGAAATCACAAGACGATCCCTCATATTATTGGTATCAACTCCAGTGATGAGGCGGGTCAGAAACCACTGATAGAAACAAAACCCAGGAACCATGTTACTTTCTGTGAGTTAGTAAAGCTTGTGACTTCACTTTACTGGTTCATCTGCAGGGAATTTGGAATCTTTTAAACAGGAAACAGCCCAGCAGATTTTTGTGCCCTTCTCTGATCGCCTCCCCAGGTGCCTTCCCAGCTGAGGATGCGATGTCTCAAAAGTCTAGCAGTGGCCCTAAGTGATGCTCCGTTTTAACAACACTCCTGTGCTCCTCTTGCGAACACAGCCTGGAGCCCAGCTGGTTGAAGGATGGGCTCACTGAGATGTCAGGAATTTTCTAGGATGTATACACAGCCACCTAAGCTTCTGCCCAAGTGTGAGGCAGGATATGGCAGGTCCTGAGGAGCTCAGAGGCAGATCTTCACAGCACTGTTATCATTTCAGCTGACACAAACCATGGCACCATGATGAATCAAGACTAAAGGCGAGTCTGTAGGGCAGAGCTCACAGCCTTGGAGCCCCTCCAGACCAATGCTGCAACACAGCTCCTCTCAGGGCACAGCCTGTCTGCTGCAGTCCTTTCAGAAAGTACTAAGCCATCTGGACAGCTAACATCTGCATGGGATGCAGCAAAACCACTGCGGCGTGTACCTGATCACTCGGTGATTAATACGGTCATTAACAGAGAAACGCACACTCATACCGGTGTTAATTCAGACGTGGGAATTGCCCAAGCACGGCCATCAAGATGTAACAACTGCAAGTGCATAAGAACTCCAAGGTGATGGAGGACAACCAGCTTTTTCAGGACATCTTGTCCACCCCATGCTTAAAGAGGAGACACCTTTTACCAAGTCAAGGCAGCAACAGCAGCTGTGTAATAATATACACGGGAATTTTAATTAGAAAGTTATTTTTAGTGTGGCTGCCCCTCTGAGGCCCTGCTGTTCTGTGGCTAGGCCTGGAAAGAAATGCCCTTAATTAACTTCAGGTCTCAGCATTGTACAGATGAATAGATGCATTAAGAATTTTTGCCTTCCTCTAAAGCTTCCTGTAGTGCTGACATTACGCTGACCTAAAGGACCGCTGGGTTTGTTCCAGCATGACTATTGCTAAGATAAGATAACAATTTTTATCCAGGGAAGAATCAATCTGACAAGTACAAAGCCTCCTGTACGTTGTACAAGCACTCTAAGGTTGTAAGACTAAGGAGCTGATGTCGCGCCGATCCCAAATTATCTTTCTGAAGAAAGAGGAGATAAATTAAGCCAGGAAAATGGACATACAAACACACCAAGGAAATCTCTCTTTCATATGCACGCAAAACCAGCCAGAGCTCCCTTGAACAAGCTGCTCAGGGGAGCCAGAGAAAGTGGTATGTTCAAAGAAAAACCCAGCGCCTGTCTCTGGGACCACCAGTTTGGCGATCTCAGGCCAGAAAGTTTTGTGACAGGGGATTCCTGGGCTTTGTATCAGGCCCTGGTAGCACACAGACTATACAACACAACACGACACAACACAACACGACACAACACAAGATGGCACAACACAACACGATATGACACAACATGACACAACATGACACAACACAACACAACACAAATCTTTCTTTTACGACCCCATGACAGTGTTTACATTGTCCTTCTCATGCAGCAACTTCCATCCATGGCACGCAGAGCCGGGGGCTCTTGCCCAGATGTGAGCTGCGTGTACAAGGGCAGCTCTCCTCGCACAGCCTGGGCATCACCTATTTCACCCACTGCACTTGGTGCAACCAACGTGGCGGCCAAAGGGTCTGGAGAAAGGGTGGAAAGAGAGGGACTCACCTCTTGTGAGATTTCTGTTGATGGTCTCCTGGGACATACTGTGCAACCGCTTCATGTAGTCCTCGCTGTACCAGACCCGCAGCTTCTCCCCAGGACGGATGTCACGACAGGCACGGAAGTAAATCCTCTCGCTGTGCTGGAAGGCCATCAGGTTCTGTTCCCTCTCCTCCCGGGAGATGATGACATACCTGAGGGCGAGGTGAGAAGGCAGGCGTGAAGCACACATTTTCTCTCCTGCACCCCCCCAGCCCTTGCACCATGATGACAACCGTGATGATGCTGGAATGACCTTCAGAGAGAGCCATCGACACAGCCAGACTGGAAAGCATGGAGTTATACGCAATGGTGTGCAAATTGCCAGAGGTACAGGACAACGAGCATGGACACCCAGGGAGCACTAAACCAGTGAGTCCATTTCTGCTGGGGAAGCGACTACTACACTGTACATCCCACCTGAAGGAGTATCTCTGCCAGTAATGGTGATGCAGGTTCTCACTGGCAGAAGATTCTTTGCCTGGTGATGGAAACAAGGACTTCTAGATTCCCTACCAGCATTTCACATCCCAGGGCCTCCCTTGTTCTTAGGGGCATCCTGAATATGGCAGACTCTTCTGGTGTCTTTCCCAACATTATCTTCCTTTTAGTAGAAACCAGATTTCCTTGCTTCTCTCCTCTTGATCAAGCAGAATTGAGATAACTCAGGAGAGAAAGACAGATACCCAACATGCACAGGGGTATTTGCTGGTAGTCCAACAGGAAACCAAGCTCGTGCCAGTACTGGAAGATTTTGCATTTTGACATTCAGCCCTGAAGTCTAGGGAAACACTAACTGAAATGCCAGCACCGTGCTGTGGGGACCTCTGGGCAGTGCCGACAGAAAAGTTGCTTTCTGAGCATGGGGTTTGTCTTCTAGATATAAAACGTTTAAGTTTCAGCTCAGCAGAAACATACTAATTCACTACTCCAACCACTTGGCACCCTGTGCGACTTGGTTAGACAGAGATCTATAGGTAGGATCGTACTATTCATGAAAAGGCTTGGTAATATGGCTCTAGCTGCCTCTGTGTACAACCTGACAACTGCCCAGGACTAGAAGACCTGCGAGCAGACCTGACTGGTTCACAGCTGAAAACCTTTTCCTCTCATATGCCATTTGCCTCAGTTATTCAGCACTCCCTGCTGCAGTGACATTGATGGAGACGAGCAGTGTGTTGCTACCAGCCCTTGCCCAAACGTTCCCTTCTAGCTCACGGGCATTTTCTTGGCTTAAGGAAGCTGTCAATTTTTCTCTGAATGCCCTTTTTTCTCTGGCCACGTGCATGCACAGATAAAGACACCAGCCCACATGCATGTGACCATGCTCACCCACACAGATAAGGTCATAAACTTGGTCAAACTTCCCACAAAACACAGAAAATGAGTCGGCAGTGTCTCAGACCGCCCAAGGCTGCAGCAGTTCTGGTTTTAATGTTAAGCAACTGTGCATGTGCCTGGAATCAGCTGCATTTTTCCCAGCTGTGTTACCCGGGATGCTCTGCAGTCTTCAGCAATTATTTAAGCAGGCTCTGACATTGCCAAAATAAGCCAAACATTGACTTTTTATTAACTCTTATTTTTATGTATTTTTTTTATGACAAAACTAATAAACCTTTAGACCACTGGTTTATGCATTTGAGAAGGCGCAGAGGCCCTGCAGCAGTGTGGTGGGAAGGAGGTCCAGCAAAGGTGCTCAGCTGCTGCTGCCAGGCTGACACTTCTGGATGTCAGTCATCACAAAAGCTGTGGTGGTCATCCAGACAGACCTGCCACCGCACCCAGAAGATGCAGCCATTTGCCGCAGTCAGTCTGATGCTCTGCTGCGTGGGTGATCCTCAGAGCTGCTCTCCCCCATGCCAGCAAAATGCCAGGATGCCTCCCAGCAATGAGGGTTAGAAAATTCTCTAAAACACCATTTTGTACACAGAGGGGAGAGACTGGTTAGCCACTCCTCTCTTTTCTTATGAAGTATTTTATTAAGCATTAGTGTGCTTTTCCTGCTGGCTCTCCTCCCGCCCCTGAGCTCCTCCAAGGTTCTGCCTCCGAGAGTCTGTCAGCGCTGCTGCCCAGCAGCGACTGGCACTGGAGATCTCTCTCTGAGAGGTTAAAAAAGCCCTTCGCAGACAGTTGTGGAATAATACGGTCATTAACACGTTTCTTCATGGCTGCTGGCAGCCCGGAGCTGGTTTACGTTGTGAGAGAGAAAGGTTGTATCCGCGATAATTTCCTGAGGTAATGTGAATGCGGATGAGATCATCCACAAAGACAAAATGCTTTCCAACCAACGCTGCCCAGCCCTGACTCCAGCAGCCCCAAAGGCACAAATTACACAGGTTAGGAAGGATTGCATAAAACTCAAATTCCACTTGTTGGGCTAAGACGCCCAGTGCTGCTGCACGTCATGGTTTGAGCCACTCCTAAACCCCAGTCTGCTCAGCGAGGCAGGGCCACAAACTGCCTGAGGAGACCCCATGCCCAACACGCAACTGGTACTAAGGCAACAAACAACCTTTGTTCAGACACCTGGGACAAAAATGGCACCGCTGTCACAGCAGGTTTCCTGTGGGACTGTGATCCCTGGAGGAGGAGCAGGGGTGGGACCACTGCTGGGGCAGGCCCAGCCATCTGGAGCTCCAAGGAGGACACTTCATCTGCCCTGAGGCATGGACCTCCCAACCACTTGGGCCCTGGGACGGACCAGGCTCTCAGCAAGGCTTGAGGACAACAGACTCTGCCCAGGCTGCTCAGGACCAGCCGCTGAGACAGTCTTGGCACCAAAGGAGAGCATCTACGAGCTCTGCTTGCTGCTGTGGAGGCTTGGATCAACCCCATGGCTGGTGGAAGCACAGCTCCACAGGGGCACCTGCCCCAGCTGTGACTGTCCTCATAATCCTTTTTTTCTAAGACATGGCCCTTTTAGGAAGCCAAAGTGTCACATTTTGGGATAGTCCAGTGAGCACACTTAAAAAAAGGCAAAGTATTTTTTCGCAGCCAGGGCCTTTTCCTCCCCAGCCTCAGCAGCAAGTCAACAGGAGCAGCTGGGAGAGATGGTGGGGTGCAAGGGAGACCTTGCAGCCAGCAGCTCAGGCTTCTGCTCCTCTCCCAAATTTGCCCCATGCCTTCCCCCTCCCTGCTGACCCCTCCACTGCTCATCCTTTGGCTAGCCCCAGCGATGCTCTGTGGATAGCCTGTCATCAGAGCACCACCAGGAAAAGGCCACGGGTCTTTCCAAAGTCAAGGTGGGTCAAGTCACAGGGCTGCTGTGGCAGGAGAGCTGCTAGCAGCCCAGGCAGGCACCATGGGGGCCACCACTCAACCACGGCCCCAGCTCTCCGATGCTGAGCGCTCCTGAGGAGACTCAGCATCTGTGACGGGTAGGGTCTGGAGCGACGTGTAACATGTTCAGGCAGAAATTTGATGAGAGAAACAAATGACTCAACAGCAGCTGTGTTAAAAGTGTTATATATTTATTGCAATCTTAACAAAAATACTTTGAGAGAGAGGATTTCTTCAGCATGGACAAGACATGGAGACAGCGGGGCTGAGCACAGCAGTTTGCTTTAACACGGGCACTTACTTCAGTTAACATGCTGTGTGCAGGAGGAAGTATCCTTTGCGAGCCAGTACAGAAAAGCCATTCCACCAAGGGGTCTACACAGGGCAGGCAACAGGTCCCCAGAGCTGGGCCAATCTGTAATAGTCCACAGAGGAAACTGGGGGAGAACTCAGGCAGTCCATAGTACAAGGTTCCTTCTCCAGACCAGAGCCCAGCCTCTGAGGGGTTGTACGAAGGTTGCAATTCCTGTGCAAGGAAAACGGGTTCTCTCTCTCTCAAGGCATCTGTGCAGGCAAACTGTTGGCTGTGACGATGCCAACAGCACCCCTAACTCCCTCCAGCGCTCAGCACTGGCAGGAGCCTCCTCCTCTGCTGACCTGAGGGTTCCCGCATGGAATCCCCCCAGACAACATCAAAGGAACTAATCCTATCAGTATATCCATGGGAGAACATCAGCAGGGACCATTTATTATAAAAATATAAAATCCTACCTCGAATATATAGCAGCAGCACTGTATTGACTCAGAAAGCCTTTAAAACATATCACCATTTTTCATTTCTCCGTGATTCATATTATTAGATCCACTTAGACCATTTTCCCCAATCTTCCCTTCAACTGAAGAGAGACTGTGAGTTTTGCAGAACACAAACGGTACAACAGAAGTAAAAGGACATCCTCACAGGAAGGTAAGTGCCCTGGTCTGGTGCCAGCACTATGAGGAACTTCCTTTGCACAAAACCAAACCGGGTCATTCCTCAGAAGAAAGGAGGTCTTTCTTTTTACCAGACCTCTACTTCCTTGAGCCAGGGCCTTTTACCAAACCACTAAAAATAAATTACTTGAATTAGGATTACAGAATAATTAAGAAGAAAAAAGGAAAAGAACATCAGGAATGCCTGACACGGGAGACATACAGTCACCTTCCCATCAGAGAAGCTACTGCACTATGCTTTCAAAGGACAGGCCAACAGATTGAAAAAGATCCTTCAAGAAGACATAAAATGAGCCATCCTTCTGCTATTCTGTGCTGTCTATGTCCCATTCCTGCTGAAATTTATACAACTTTTTGGCTAAGCCTGTAGCCCACACGTTACGTGATGATGGGCATTCATGTTAACTTGAACAGTTTTCAGCAACCCACCTTTCCCCACAATAGAACAGCCCAGAGAGCAGTGGTGTGCTAACTGTATGTGGATAACACCTCGGCCCTCTTCCCTGCTGAGGCATGACACGATAATGGTCCAGATTTATCCGGAGATGGGGGCAGCACAGTAGGTGCAGATGTGCAAATCAAGTGGAAAACAGAGATGCTGTAAAAAAGCTGCCAAATATGTTATCACCACCTGAGGTGACATTATTAAAGATTAGTTTAGGAATTGGGATTGTACATGGAAACCTCATGCAGCACTAAAGCAATTAAAATGTTTTAACAGTTCTCTCTTGCATCTCTAAGGGAAAAGGAAGGAGTATAATACCAACATATTCAAGAACTTAAACTATACAGCTGGGAACTGAGGTTGTAAACTCTTCATGATAGAAGAACACAGTACAGATTCCACCCTAAGTAATACTGAGCAAGTCCCAAGTAGCTGTAC